AACACCTTCCAAAATGTTTAGTTCTTGGTTTTTACACTAGTCGTTAGACCAGTGTGTCCATAGTTTCAATGTGTTTGGATTTTAACAGTAAATATGAAAATAAAATCACATAAAAAAAGAGAAAGATAAAACTTCTGATAAAAAAAGAGGAATTCTATACAACAAAAAAGTTAAATACATAAAATAATTGCATGATATATATAACCAAATACAAGATAAAACTAACTCATAATGGCAAGAATAACATCAAACATCACCATAAAGCTGTGAAACACAACATGATAACTCATGATATTACAAAACAGGATGTTTTTGTCAGACCAAACCATTGGCAGTGAAAATAACAGAGAGGGTTGGGAACATAAAGCCAAACTATACAGTTCAGATATCTAACTTTAATAGTGGCAGGAAGACATTGGGTGTTGAACAGCAAAATTAGAACCCTAGCTGGCACAAATATTCTATTTCTGCAAGTGAAGACATGCCTCACTGTGGTTATTCCTTGACTGATAATTATTTCTGAATCAGGGTTGTCAAGTAGATCCCTCTCCACAATACCCCTCTTGAGTAATTCAAAGTAGTACAGGGAGAAACCTCAACAGGAACATCCCCAATATATTTTAACTTTAAGAGGAGTTCACTGTCATGTGGTTGGGATGTTTTGACCAAAAGTTCTCCAGATCTGAGATTCTTAACTGACTTGGGAGAACTGAGAAGTCCCTCAAACTCTTTTGAATAAAATATGGCAACATTTTGGATAAGGATTTATCAGAAAGATAATACAAGATTAAAACTTTAGGTACAGAAACAACAGGAGATGGTGTAGAATAGTGTCTTCCATTCATGATCATTTACCAATGATTTATCACTGTATTATGTTTTAATGTCTCATGTTAATATATAAACTTGACTTTTCGTTACCTAACAACAAACATTGTGCATTTTAACATCTCATGTAAATTATCACCATATTATGTTTTAATGTCTCATGTTAATATGTCAACTTGACTTTGTTACTTTACAACAAACAATGTACATTTTAACATCTCATCTTAATATATCAACATGACTTTCAGTTACTTCACCATCTCACATGATACACTTTACTGACTTATCATAGCTTTTACATTATTTACGTTTACTTACTTGTGCAATTACTTTCATCAGTACCATCTCCACAGTCATTGTCAAAATCACAACGAAATTGTTCTTGGATGCAGCGGCCATTGTCACATTGGAACTCCATTTCTCCACATGCTTTGAAATCTTAAAAATGACAATAAATTATGTTTCAGAATACTACAATCCCATAACAACTGTGTATAAATACTTAATCATAGCCTTACTCTACACACACACACACACACACAGACTACAAAAAACAAAAAACATTTGCTGAATCAATGATACCTAAATATCATTCTTAGATTATTTTAATTATTTTTTAAAATATATACCTTAACATTGCTTAATTTCATATCAAAATAATCTATATTTCTGATCATTTATTTCCTGGATAAAGGAGAAGATTTAAAAATATTATTGAATCTTCTGATACATTTAACTCTTTCCTCTCGGGCTCAGTCTAATCGACTGAGTTCATAACCATTTTGTACTCGCTACAATTTCCACACTATAGCTTTTAATACAGTACGTGTAAATTCAGAAAATCTGGCAAACTTTTCAGTAAACAAAAAATTAGGTTTTTCAATTCAGCATTTTAAATGAAGATTTGTTTATAAATATATCGAATAGTTTTGTTTACTAGTCAGAGAGCAAGGTGATTTTCATGTTAAGATTGAAAATACTTTTATTCATCTGAAAAATTTCAAATTTCATTTATGTAATCTCTAAAACCTTCTAAATAATTATAAAACTTTATAGTTTATCTGTTATTTTCTCTACCCTAACTATATACAAGGTTGGTCAAATTGACCAACCTTGTAACCACCAAAACAAATCTAAATTACCATTTTCTTTCTTTCTAGAATGACTTCAGATATTTAATTACTTTTAATAAATAAAGAATACACACAAAAAACAAGAAATAAAGTAAATATGTGGGTCTTCTTTTGTTTTGCTGTTGACAGTTTATGACACTTAACCCCACTTATGGTACTACTGCACTAAATAGTTTTATTTAATTAAATAATGCACCAAAAATACAGAGTAACAACATGCAAAAAGGATGTGATAGATTAAAACCTTGGCTTTCTATTGGTTATAAATAATGTAGTATTAAACATCAGAGAGAACTACTGGTAATTTCTGAATGATAGGACATAATATGTGGGTGTGGCAAGATGGGTCTGATTTTCTTTTTGACGAATCTGTAACCAAATAAGATGTATTATAAAAATTGTACTTTAACAACAGAGCAATGACAACATTATAATAAGTACTTTGTATTAAAATCCATACTTCTTGGAGGGGTAGTTAATAAATTAGAGAAGATGGGATACCTAAAGAACAAATGTCACAATTCTCACACTAGGGGGAAATAGACAATTATTTTTTAAATATTGCCTTATAAAATGAAGAATTTAAAACTTATATCAAATTAAAATTTGGATTATTAGCTAAGTTTTTATGCCAAATTCATTTATATACCAAAATAAGAAACTAGTTTAATTAAATTCTGAATGTAACTAAAACCTCCTGACATGCACACAATATGATGCCATAATGAAAGAGTTAAAAACGATATTTTTTTTTATCAAACTATGTAAAGAAGATACACAGTTAGCTTCAAATATGTCTTAATATTGCAAAATTTGTTGTACAATCTACCTTCAAAAACCATGGCTAACACTTGTACACAGATAATGTTGCTGTTTTCAACATGACTAATACTTGTACACAGATAATGTTGCCGTTTTCAACACGACTAATACTTGTACACAGTTAATGTTACTGTTTTCAACACGACTAATACTTGTACACAGTCTTGGATTCATCGAAAAGGTATTTTAAATATCTCCTCAATAGGTCATCAGAACTTCCCTTTATAACAATATCTATGTAATGACTGAGTCACAAGTTCTGGGAGTGTCTGTAAATATCATAGCAAAAAGTTTATATTTCTTCTTTATTACGCAATAACTCAAAAACCAAAACGATGGTATCAACCAAATTCACTTAGGTGACAAAGTTTCAAATGGAGTATCTGCTTTTATAATTACTATTAATTTGTAGTGATTTAAAAAAATCATAATTCTAGTGTTAAAAAGTTTAAGTACAAGTTTAAACAGGACCAGCCAATAATAGAAAACAGCAGCATTATCTGTGTACAAGTATTAGTCATGTTGAAAACAGTAACATTATCTGTGTACAAGTATTAGTTGTGTTGAAAACAGTAACATTAACATCCCTACATCGGCAGCGTTACTGCCTGCTTGATAAAGGTAAAATATCAATTCTACAATGTTGAAATATGACATTTGTTTCCATATGTCGAAAATTGTATGAAGTTATGTTTGCATGTTTTTATAATAAATTGTTGACTTAAACTTCTTTAGGTTTGGAAATTCTAGAAAACATACAGAATTCTTTTTTCATCATTTAACAAAATTCTAGAAAATTACAGAAATCTGCATATTTTGTTTTTACCATTACCAGTTTAGCCAGGCTCTAGATAATTTAAAGTATTTATGAAGACTTACGGCAGTCCTTTTCATCTGAACCATCTTCACAGTCTTTATCAGTGTCACACTTCCATGTGTTGGGGATACAACGTCCAGAAGGGCAGAGAAATTGGTTCTCATCACACGTGTGAAGCTCTGTAGTTATAGTAATTATTCTTTAGTATACTATCTATTATGTTACTTTAAACATATTTTAAACAAGAGAAACATTTACCCAACCAAATGTTCACTTATTTTGTTACATTACAGAAATATTAAAAGTTACACAGTTGATGCAAAAATTACATAATAATACAATTCCCATTTAATAAATTATTGAATCTATTCTCATACCTTGTAGTTTTAATATATTTAAAATGACTTTACAAGATTTTGAAAGCTTCCTGTCTGTATCCTTCAGATTAAGTTTATACAATATTAAGAAGAATGAAGTAATACATCACCTTTCACTGCAATGTAAGACAGCTTTAAAAATTAAATTAAATGTATAAAACAAACGAGCAAGAATTATGATTTATAATTTATTAAATTATAAAATTTATCACTTACTTTTAATACAAATTAAGTCATCTTACTGTAAAGATGACCCACTATGTGTTTGCCAGTTTGTGTGTTAACATCCATCACGCAGAGTTGGCTGGCTCAACTATCATAACTTTTAGTATAGTGACTGGAAACTGTTCAAATGTGTATATAGGCTATTTTGTTACAGGATTTTTGCCCAAGAAGGTAGATTAAAAAACACCCTGAAATAGGGCATATTTCCACTATTTTTTACATGAAATTTTGGCTTACCTCACTCATAATTGGTTTGCTTGATTGCCATAATTTGCATATCATAACTAGAGCTTCTATTATTTTGTTAAAATCAGTGTTTATTTTTAGCTGTTTTATAGTTCCGTTTAGATATCTTAGAATTGGAGTTTTTCAGGGTTTTCATTTGTAGTTTTCTGTAGATACCTTCAAATCAGTGTTTTTAAGTTTTCACTTTTAATAGTGTAATGAGTATACTAACATACCATATATTCTCTGCACACTAGTTTCTCTGATGGGAGTATTAACATGTACAGAAGATAGTTCTTATTTATGTTAAATATTTGTAAGAGAAGCTAATATTTTATATGAAAATATAAAACTAACAGATGAGCACGTATAGAAATGGTTAAAATTCGAGATCATAGTGACTTAAGAAAGTTGGAACATTAATGTAAAATGAGCTGAATAACTATTTTCAATGTTTTTCTGATGTTTATTGGAAAAACACCAATTTAATTATTTTTTGTATCAGGAGTGTTTTATCAATTAAAACTAAAAATCAGAAGCCCTAATTATAACTGTAAACTGTTTGACAGTGTAGTGGGCTGTTTTATTTTAGAATTTTTGCCTAAAAAGGGGGGATAAAAACACAGTGAAGTACAGCAATTTTCTACTTTTTTATAGAATTTTGGCTTTGAATTTAAAGACATAATTACTTAGTTAAATCAGCATCTAATGAGGTCATTATGAATTTAATAATAAAAGAAAGAAGGAATGGGTACAATATCTAACATTGTCCTTCATATAATTTTTGCTTCCATAAAAGATACTCAGCAGTAAAAATAAAAGCATACAAGTGTTATATACAGTTCAATTCTAAAATAACCATGGCCATGTCACAGCCTGACCATTCTTGCTTCATAACTGTTCCAAAAAGATTGAATACTTTGTATTCTAGCCAGTTCACATATGAAATAAGTGAACACTTACGACAGTTATATTCGTCACTATTATCTCCACAGTCGTTGTCTCCATCACATTTCCACAGGTTAGGTATGCAAAGCCCGTTACTACAAGTGAACTGCTCAGGTGCACAAGTGGAATTCACTTTAAAAAAACACACATTTCAATTACTGCAGATCAATTACTTATAAAAGAAGTTCATATTCACTAATAATATATATATAATGTTTAATAATGAAAACTAACATCTAAAAATATAAAAACTATTCACTAAAAAAAACAGTACTCATATTGAGTTCATTACAACAGGAAAATATTACTCTGGATATATGTTGTAATACAACCAGTAATTCACTAAAAACACACTATTCATATATAGTTATTACAACAGGGAAATATTACTCTGGATATATGTTGTAATACAACCAGTAATTCACTAAAAAACACACACTACTCATATATAGTTATTACAAAAGGGAAATATTACTCTGGATACATAGCTTTGTAACTTCAGGAGTTATAGAATAATTAAGACCTCATGTTCTTAGTAAAAATACTGACAAGTTTGTAGTTACATACTCATTCTAACTCTTCTATAACATTAGGAGTTATAAAAGAATTAAAATCTCTTGTTTTTAGTTTGTAGTTACATATTCATTCTTATCAGTCCATTAACACTTACATGCTACACATGTTCCATTCTTACGCAAAGCCTCTCCATTAGGACACAAACATTTTTCATTTCCATCAATCAATTTCTGTATCTTCATACCATCAGGACATAAACAGGTGCGACTGTTATTTGGACGACCCATACACAGGTGGCTGCACATCCCGTGGGTTATATTTTGACACATATTAGTTCCTAAGAGGCAATAAGAAAGAACATTATCATTTGGGCTGGTTTTAGTCCAGTACACAATACAAATGCAATATGATTTTAAAGTATTTACATGTGTAGTACACCATTAAAAAAAAAAAATTCACCAAGTTCAAAAAGTTCCAAAGCCTTAGGGCAGGTGAGATGTGCAAAAAGCTAGAACATAATTATCAAAAGTAATGAATAAGTGAAATATAAAGCTAATGCTTGTAGTAAGGCTGACACAAAAATCAAATCCAGAGATTAATTCTTATTACCAGATGGATCTCAGAAATGTATTTGGATGAGAACAGAATATATCAAAAACAAATATGACATTAAAAAAAATGTGTTACTACTTGTTACTTTTCATCTTTGACAGCATAATCACTATGTATTCATTTAATTTGTTAACATTTCACAGGCACACAGTGTTGTAGAATGTTAACAGACAAACACAGGAAAAATTGTGATTGAATAGTTATATATATTGCTATATGTCAATTCTTGCCTGCGCTATCATGTAGGGATGATGCAAATGCCATCCCTACTATCTTGTGTGCATTATTTTTAAAGTTAGTTATTAGCCATCCTTACACTTACTTCCCTTTTTGAAAAGTTTTTCTATTTACTTTTTTTTTTTAAAGTTATAATTCTTCTATACTGAAAATGTATTTCTGACAGCTACTTACCTGTTCTCAAATAAATAGCTATTCTCATTCAGTGCTGCCCTTTATATGGTAGTGAAATGAAGTGGTTGAGGTGAGGTAAATCAATTACAGGCTGCCAATCCCAGTTTGCTTCAGGACGACGAAAAGGCAGAAATATAAACCCCGGTAAGGGTGGGGAACAGGTTTGATGGCCTGCTGCAAGAGAAATTCCTGAACCGCTTCTGACAGACCCTGGCTGGTCACGGGATCTTGAGGAGGAAGGAGAGACAGAATGTGGGGAAAGAAACTGGACAACAAATCCTTGTGACAGAACCTGAAGCACCCATTGATCACTGACGAAGGAATGCTAGCAATGAAGAAACTTGAACAGCCAAGCCTCATTGGATCAAAACCCACTGGGTAGTGGAAAAAGATGATTGAAGTCCTCATCAGCCTGTTCTGGAGGAGCCTGGGCAATGTCCAGGGACAAAGGTTGCCCCATGTAACATTCCATCTCCTGGTGTATAAAAACAGATAAATCCACCATTAGGTCACCCACACCTGAGGTTTGAGAAAAAATGCTGGTCACTGGTGTAACCCCCAAAGTGGTAAGGTTAACCTCGGAATTCATTGTACAGAAAGTTCACCAAATTCGAGTGCAGAAAATAAGGCAACTAAAATTAACTGATAAATAATAATAGAAGAAACAGGTTGAATGAAAGCAAATTAATTTAAAAACAACCACTTTGTGAAGAAACAAAGTCAAATGTGAAGCATTAAACAAACAAAAGAGCACGTCTGAACACAAATGCTGCCAAATGAGAAGTGATAGTTTGGTAGAGGAGTGTAGAGGGAGTCACAAGCATCACATATCATGCTCTTATTGGTGAGGAGGTAATGCATGAGAGACAGGTTGGAATCTTGCAATTCCAATAGGGGAAGCAGAAGGCTTGTGGCATGCGTAAAGAAAATGTTTGCAGATAGAGGGCAACAATGAACAAGAATAGCTAATCTAGTGAGGTGAGTACTGTATCAGAAACCTATTTTTAAAAGCAGACCATACTGTTTTATTTAATATAAGGCATGGCAGATTGGTCAGCTATCTCTTTCTCCTTTACCCATGTAGTCCATGGGTAGGTATGGTCTGGGACGGGCAAACTTATGCAGAATTTTATCGCAACAATAAACCTTCCAGCAATCTTTTGGAACACCCCATCTCAGCACTGTGCTTTGTGTGGCCATGTAATTATGATATCCAAAGCAACATAGCTAGACAGTGCTGATTCGAACAGTTAAAGAATACCTGGTCAAGCACCACTCGCCACAGAGCAGGATCCAAAAGATGAGGAATAATAATAAAAAGGGAAATAAAGCCCCTGAAAATAAAATAAAAAAGAATAAAAAAATAACTTACCAAGTCAAAGTCACACTGAAGTCTGAAGAATGGCTACAAACAGAAGATGACAGTCCAAAGAGGAAGAAACCACGATACTATGCAAATAGTGAGAGACAAACATATCAGGAGTAATCCACATGCCCGATTGAAGAGTTTCCTCCAACGGACAACGAAGATGAGATGCCAGAGAAAAGGTAAGGTAGCAAATTTCATGAGAAGACACCTGGACCAAAGTACGAGAGGAAGACGACAGGAAGGAATAAGCCAATCGAATCAAAAGCCAAACCCAATTGGTGAGGGTAGAAGAAGAAAGATCCCGAACAGAGGATGGTTGACAAGGGATAAACAGGCGGGAACACCCACCATGGAAGGAAGCCATGCAGGCAATATAACAGCAAAGAGCATGTAAAGTACATAGAAGTCTATCCGGATCAGGCTGAGGATAAAGGCGGGAAATGGAAGGAGGGGAAATCAGCATAAAGGAGGAGTTACCCTCCCTAGCTGCTGAAGTTCTGAGTAGGAAAAAATGATCTGGATAAAGGAGAATATATGTATGATGATAAAGAGTATGAGAAACATCAATGGCAAATAAATCAGACCACCAACATGAACAGGCTAAGAGGAGAAGGAAAAAACTATTAAGAGAAAGGTGAAAGAAGGAGCATATGGAAAGTGATTCAAACAGAGGCAAAGTGAGGCAGTGAAGAACCACATTAACATCCCAGTCCAGAGGGACAGCATGCCATGGAGGACGATGAATTCGGAAGGAACACACCAATAAGGAAAGCACAGAAGGGGTAAATGCTCTACAGTATAGGGAAAAAAGACAGGTGTGGACAGAAGACCCCCAATAGAAAACCCAAATAAGAAAATCCGTAATACAAGGAACAAGAACCAGAAATGAACCTACTCATCAGGACAAGGTTGATCTCCTCGCCAAGGGCTGGATAAAAATCAAGTGTGAAGATGGAGGACATGAAGGACTGGATGAAGTACTGGTATTCAAGGTTGACAAAGAAGTGAGGAAGGCAGAGGAAGAGGTAGTGGAGAGATAAGTTGAAGCTGGAGAAGCCGCGGAAACTATGGCTGAGCCGGCTAGTAAAGAGCAACCAGGAAGACTTGACACAGAGTGGTATGGATGATCAAAATCACCCAGTGAAGAAGTTGAATGGGAGAAAAAACACATAGGCATTTGTTGGTCCAATCCTGAGGGATGAGACACCAGAGACCAAAACAGAGGTAATTTGTGATCGAGGGATGTGGCAATAGTGTGAGGAGTACCCAACTGAAGGCAAAGCCACAGGAAAACAAGAGGATCAAGAGACCACTCCATTGGACAGATTTTGTCTGGATGGGAAAGATGATACACGAAAAGATTGAAAGCACCTGGAACATGACATGCAATGATATGAATATCTTGCATGTAGTCCCAAACAAGAATATCCAATGTATGAAAACATAGGGATCAAGAACAGGTGCCACCCTGGTGACTGAAATAAGTAATCACCGTAGAATTGTCAGAATGAATCATTACCAGTTGATGTCTGGTTGGATGGAAGAAATGAACCAAAGTTCCAGGATGTAAATAAGACCTCTCAACAGCAGACCAACACCCTGAAGCTTCCTGTTAATCAACCCATGCCCCCATCACTGAAGGGATGCGTCTGTGAAAAATATGTAAAGACATGGAGGTAGAGGGAAACATGCCTCCCAGTGACTTTCCGAATCATGTCCTAAATGTTTTTGGAACTGGTGGTAGAAGAGATGCTAGTAGTGAACTTAATACAAGACTCCTTTTGGCTTTGACCTCGAACCTGCCAAGCATGGGCACAGGCCCGCTGATAAACCATGCTGTTAGAAAAAGAGGGATACCGTCAGAATGTATCCCAGGCCCATTTTTGAGCCTTCTGTGCCTCCTGTCAGGCAGGACTCCACCATGGACGAGGATACCATGGAAAACATGTAGAGGTCTTAGAAATAAAGTGAGCAGCTGCCTGGACGATACAGTCATACAGTGCTACCACACAGTCGTCTATTGATGCCAGATAGACAATGGCAGGATCAAGTTTGGAGAGAGTGGTGAAAGAGGGCCAGTCAGCCTGGTCCAACTTCCATTCGGCTTGGGCGACATCAACCCCGGGCCAACCTCCCTCAAAATGATAGAAAAATTATCACTGCCTAGCGGGTCACTATCAACTATCCAAGAGAAGTGGGAGAAGTGAAGGGAAGCAAATCAAGACGTCAATGACAGTGAAAGACTGACTAGGTGCATGAAAATAAGTATAAGATCCAATATTGAAGAGAGAAAGGTTGTGATCCGAGAGCATCCATCAATATCAGCACCACCCCAGGAATGGTGGGGAAAAAGATTGGAGTAGATGTAGACTGGTCACCTCTGTTATCCATTAGAGCAGAAGACCACTCACATGACGTGAAAAAGACTCACATGGAGGCACAGAAAGGTCCACCTGTACTCCCACTGTAGCTGTGGAGCATAGTGCGGTGGCATATGTCTGATATGGAGTAGGGAACAATAGCTTCCGAGTTTGGGGTAAGAAATGTTATTAACAGTCTTTAAATGCTGTATCTCTTTCTCCTCCACTTACTT